CCAGGCGGTCGGCGGGCAACCTGGCGACGCGGGGCGGCAGATGTCCCGCGCCGGGGCCGACTGTTCCGCGCCAAGCTGGGGTCCCTTTTTCACAAAACCCCTGGGCGCTGGCGTTTCCACCGCGGAGGTCGGGAGGGGTCTGCTGGGCCCGCGGGCCGCGGCGGAGTGCAAGAGTGCGGCGACAGTGGCAGGCAGGGGCCTCTCCTCTGAGCACTGCGTGGCCTCCGCCTCTCTGGACATTTTTGGTATAAGTGAACGCCGGGTCGCTCCGTGCGCCACGACCCCGGCGTCCTGGGCCACTCCCGGCCTGAGGCGGCGTCCTGGCGGCCCCGTAGGTATAACGGATCATCTGGCGGTGCCTGCCCTGCGGTGCACTTGGCAACCGGGAAGCAGCCGAGCTCTGCAGCTTTTCTCATTGGGAAAACTTTGAGAAAGGGCCAGAGCCACCCCAGCTGAGAAATCACAGCCTTTAGGGAAGCAGAAGCGGGGAGCAGTGGCGGGTCTTCGAAGGTGGCTGAGGGTGGTCTTTTCTTTGCTGAGAAAGCATCCTTGCAGCAGGACCCCCACCCACACCCCCGCGGCTTGGCCCGGGCGCCCCGTCTTTGTCCCTTAGGTGTGCATGTGCAGGAAGTAAACTTTCTTGGAGCGTGCGCGGGCCAGGCTGGCTACCCCACCCCCGGGCCCCGCGCTCCTCTCCCCCCTCCTTCTCTCTCCTTTCTCCATCTTCAGCTCTGGTGGAGGGAGCCAGCGGCCCAGCGCGGTGTGCTCGGGGTGGCCCCAGGTCGCCGGACGCCAGGCCTGGGGCGCCCCGTGCCCCTCGCCGTCCTGCACCCGGGTCGGCTCCGGAGGCGGCTTCTGCGCTGCGCTCCTCTGCTTGATGCCGCCGGTGGAAGGGCACCCAAGGTACCTGCCTGGGCTTCCTGGGCTACTTTAGGCCCACCCTCCTACCTACTTGGCGCCGGAGCCGGTGCACACCCAGCAGCCGTCGCCACGGTGCTCTGGCACACTGGACCCCACAGGAGTTCCAGCCTCGGACCCATTCGGGGCTGCGGAGTGGAGGCCGGCCTCGAAGTCCCTTCCCTGGCGTTCTGTGCCTCTGGTGGCCTGGGCCACCTAGTACCCTGGACACCCGCCCAGCCTCCACCTCCTCCTCTTCCGTCCCGCTGCGCGGAGCCTGGAGACTCTGGGACACCCGCAGCATTAGGAAAGCCCCCATTTCTCCGTGTTCGGTCCCGGAGACAGACACCGAGCTACCGCCTGTAATTAGCGACAATAAGGCCCGTAATAGTAATTACTAATTCCCAGCTCCATAATCAGACTTTCATTTCTCTGCTCTGAGTCACATTTCTTCCTGTTCGTGCTGTGTGTTGCCCCCCACCCCACCCCCAGCTAACCGGCCCCAAGCACTCCAGAAACCCCCTGTAACGGCCAGGGCGCCTTCAGATAGCTTGGGGGGAGGCACTAGGCGCTCCCGCTCCAGGAAGTCCCTGACCGCAAGTTCCTCCTGTTCCTCAGCCCACCGCCTCCCCTGCCCCCAACTCCAAGACATCCCGTACTCCCAGCCCCCTCTCCTCTACACAAAACAAGCCCAACATTGCAGGTGAGAGCTGTGTGAGCAAGGGTCCAGCCCACCACTGTTCTGTTTAGTAAACTCCAGTGTCACATTACAAGGCGACAGATAAATACAGGTGAGATAAGAAGTCTTCTTCCCGGAGATGGAGGTGCAATGTACGTTCAGAAACGCTTCCCGATGTAAGGATTCAGCCACACAGATTGATAGACTCCTTCACGCCCACTTCCTCACCAACGCGGGCCCCACCTGCGTGACTCGGGTCACCTCAAGTCTATCCTTACCCTCAATGCCACCCTGACTCAACACCTCCACTCAGGTCATGGAATGACGGCAGATTCCTGGGTACCTTCCTAAGGAACTAGCAAGTGAGCCAGGAGGGCCTGGCTGGGCGGCCTGGGGACTCCCCTGGGAATCCCGCCTGAGGACCAGTTAAGGGGCGCGTGGCCAAGGGGGCACTAGCATGGCCTGTGCACTTGTCCCCCACCCCGGGGAGTCCTTGAAAGGTACCTAAGGGGCGATTGGATGCCCCGTACCCAGGCCAGGGGCTGGTGCTGTGCCGGGAAGCTCCTGAGCTGAAAACCCGTTCCAGGAGGAAGGGGGGTCTAGTGGAGTCTGGCAGGCTCCAAGCTCACCTCCTCCTTCTTTCTCCTGGGCCGTTAACTCAGAAACGTTTAACCATGAAACTAGGAAGCAGCGTAGAAAAGAAAGGACTTAGAAAATCGCGCGCAAAACACCCCATTAGGGCGAGTGGACAAAGAAGGACCGAGAACCTCGTGCCTCAGTGTCTCCAGGCCAGCACGGGCCCTCCTCTGTCACTCTTTCTTTTAGCATCAAATGGTTACATGAGGTCGAGGGCTGGAAGGCCAAGGGTGCCTGAGCCCGGGAGAGGGCCACGGTGCTCCAGAGCCTTGGGCTGACTTGAATATCCGCTTAACCCGAGTACCGATCTTTTCCCCGAAGTGTTGGACCAGGCTCTCAGGCTCTTCCCCTCCGGCGTCCCTCTCCGTCCCTCTGGTGGCCCGGGAGGCACCGGGCACGGAGGAGGGACGAGCTGGGTCCTGCGCGGGCTCCAGGGTACCGGCGGGGAGCGGATCCCGGGGCTCTCCCGGCATCGCTGTGGAAAACCGACGGCCCCCCACCCACAGCCCTGCTGCGCCGGATGGCGAACGCGGCTAGATTCGCTCCTCCAGAACCCCGCAAGGAGTGGCTCGGGCCAAGCCGGCCCCTCGCCAGGTGGCTAAGCTGGCTCGAGCGCCATCCCCCCACCTCCCGGTCGCCACGCCGTCCTCACTACACGCAGGAGTCTTGCGAAGCCAGACATAGGGGTCGCTGCGCGGCCGGATCGGAGCTCCGCGCGGTTCGCGGCCCGGCTCCGGCCGGACTGCAGGAGTCCTGGGACGAGGAGCGCGAGGATTCTGGCAGGAGCGCCCCTGGCCCGCCTCAGTCGGAGCTGGGCGCGGTACCGCGGAGCTGGGCAGAGGCGGTGACCCGGGTCGCAACGAGGCCTCTGGTGGGAAGGCAGGACCCTGGGCGCGCGCCCGCTGGGCCAGTGGCTCTGGGTGTACCCGCGTGTGTACAGGGCGCGTGTGCAGTGCGCGGCGAGGCAGGGAGAGGACTGTGCGGTGGGAAGGCGGAGGAAAGGCCTGAGGTCGTGGGGGCGGGGGTGGCGGACAACGCATGTTCCAACCCAGTGACTTCTGCGCAGGTTTCAAGACTTCAAGGAAAGTTTACTTGCTCAGTTTTGTTTTGTTTTGTTTTGGGGGACAATACTTTAAATGGGGGTTATCACTGCTGTGAGAAACATCGGGGTCCTTTTTCTCCTCCAGTTCAGTGGTGACTTGTCTCTGCTCTGCGCCCTGCCCCCCCCCCCCGGGGCCGTATTTAAATAAGGCTGAGATGCAACAAACCAGCAGGACCCTCATTCACAATTTTACTCTTTCCCAAGTAGTTCCCAGCCGCTTTCCAAGCTCTGCTGTCGGGCATTCTCTGAGGAGGTGGAGGAAGCTCATGTGGGGACCGCCCCACTTCCTGGAGCCATCTTGGGGACTAGCCTTTGGCGCCGAGGACCGGGGCGACGCAGAGCAGTCACGGGGATGCAGCGGGCGGCGCGGCAGCCTCGTCGCCTGCCTTTCAAAATGGCCATTCTCTGCTCTGCGGATGGCGGGCTGGGGCGCCGGGCTGCGGCTCGGTGGAGCGGCTGGCGGCCTGACCCGGCCGGCGTCCCCGGCCCCAGCTGGGCCCTCCGACCCGACGCGCGCCCAGATTTATGAGTCTTGTTAAATACTCATTAGAACTTTGCACCTTGCTCCGGCAGGGCCGGGAAGCCATCCCGATCGGCGATAGCGAGGCGAGTGGCAAATCATTCCCGCGGCCGAGACCCCCGGGCTTCAGGCCGGGACACGGAGTCGGCCCCAGCCCCTGGGAGCCCAGCCCACGCGTTCCTGCCACGCCGAGACCGCGCCCACGCTGGGGGCCGGAGACTCCCCTGGAGCTCTGGGCCCAGAGAATCCGGGAGCCCCCATTGCGCACACCGAGGGCGCGGGCTGCGGGACCCCGCTGCGAGTCCAGCTCGCCCCCGCCGGGCAGGAAGAGACTCGGCGAGCGACTCGAGGAAAACTGGGAAGGAGAACGCCCAGAAACGAGAGACGCAGGCTGGCGGGTCGCTGGGCGCAGTGTCCCGGGCGGCGAGAAGCGCAAAGCGCGCGGCGGTCTAGGGGGGACCTTTGCTCGGCGGATAGCGGCGGCGTGAGGACTGTGGCCCCCGGAGCCTCCCGAGCCGGGCCGGAGTTTTTGACAAACGCAGGGCAGAAAGACCCGACCCAGTGGCCCTGCCCAAAGTGTCGCGATCGCGCCGTGCCGGGGTGTTCGAGGAAGTGAATTCCATGCGTGCGCACACACGTGAATGTTTTATAAACCTCCCCGTAATTAACCAAATCATTTCCATTATGCCTTCGATATGATCCACAGCAACGGTGTGAGGGTTTTCCGGGTTTATAATTTTATGTCACCAGACGGTTGCTCGGGGGCAGACGCACAATTGCCGCGCCAGCTGCAGTTGCCTTTATTTGTTTTTCTGCCGTGTTCCTGTAGGGCTCCATTATGCAGTTTTTAATTAGTTTGTGTTTGTATTTCACCCGTCCCAAATCAATGCCATCCTGGAGCAAGGCGATGTAAATTCTCGCAGTACAGGTGTAGCTGCCTGCTCCGGAACACTAGCAAACGCGTGTCTGACAAATGAAAGCCAGGCTGCCACGCAGCCGACTGTCAGCTCTCGGCAGCCGAGAAGCGCAGATCAAAGCCGGAGCGGGGACTTCTGCGCCCCCAGGAGCGGCGTCTTGGCTGCGCCTCCTAATGCCAATAGAGGGGGCGGGGGCGGGGGCAGGGGCGGGGGTGGGGCAGAGCACTTCGTGGGGACAAAGTGACTTTTAGTTTTGCTCAAGTTCTGTGGTTCTGGGACCAGCGCAGGCCTCCTGAGTGCTTTCCACTTGGGGCCTAGAGGACCCGGGCGAAACTGCTCAAGGCCGCTGCCTCAGGACCCGGGCTGTGTGCGCGGACGCGAAAACTCGCGCCTCGTGCAAGATTAGGCCGTTTCCTGCCTGCTTCCACCAAGTCTGTTAATAGAATGCAGAGCCTAAAGCGCGAAACTTCTTGTATCTCTAGACAGGCGAAGCCCTGCTTCCCTCCCCATGTCGTGTTTGCTCTCTCTTCCTTCTTGAAATGACCTCTGTGGAAGAGTATAAATCTCTTCTTCCAGCCACCCGGGAATTCTTTTAAAG